CTTTTTAGCAAGTTACCAAATGCTAATATTCCTCAAGGATCATCTTAGCCCTTTTCCCTTCTTACTCTATAGTCTCTATGAAACTGATATCAGCTATATCCAAGAATTCTTCTATCAATATCTTAATCCAGGTGACTCGCAAATTTTAATTAAACAGTTGATTTTGAGGTAACTATAGATTCACATGCAGTTGTAAGAAATAATACAGACATCCTATGAGCCCTTTAATAGTTTTCTCCATGGAAACATCTTTATTATAATGCAGTGTCATAACGAGGATATTGATATTGATACAGTCCAGATACAGAACAGTCTTATCATCCCCAGGATTCATCATATTGCTCTACTGTAGACACCCTCTTTCTCCTCACCCCAATTTCCCCATCTTATCCCTGAAAACCACTGACTTTTTCCATTTCTATAATTATGTCATTTCAAGAATATTATATAACTGGAGTCCTACAGTATGTAACATTTTGAGATTGACTGTTTTCACATAGCATAATTCTTTGGACAGTCATCCAAGTTGTTTTATGTATCAATAGTTTATTGATTTTTATTGACAAATAATATTCCATTGTATAGAAATACTACAGTTTGTTTAATTATTCATCTATTGAAGGACATCTGAGTTATTTCCAGATTCTAGGTATTACAAATAAACCTGCTTCTGTGGGAATATATGTTTTTCTTTCTATGAGATAAATGCCCAAATGTGTAATTGCTAGGTTGTGTAGTAGTTTTAGTAGTTTCATGTTATTGTTGTTTAAGTGACTGCCAAGTGGTTTCCCATTATGGCTATCCCATTTTACATTTCCACCATCATATATGAATGATCCAGTTTCTCCATATACTTTCCAGAATTTGGTATTGTCATTAACTTCTTATTTTAGCCACTCTGATAAGTGTGTAGTGATACCTCATTGTGGTTTTAATTTGCAATTTTTCTAAAGGCTAATTATGTTGAACATCCTTTCATGTGCTTGTTTATCATCTTCATATCTTTCTCTGTGAAATGTCTATTCATGTCCTTTGTATCGTTTGAGTTGGCAATCTGTAAACACTTCATGATAATGAATTTGGTATTCTAGTAACTGTGTACAAAGAGATTATATCAACATTATGGTTAAAAAGGAAAGTTTGTACATAAGTAATAACAAACAGCAATCTACTGTCCTTACATTTTCCATATCAAATGAATTTATTTGTCTCCTTAACAATTAGTGTTTGTAATAAAAATATTCTTAAATTTTACAAGTACATGTACATTTTAGACTAATATTCATTTCTCACCAATATTGGAAATATATAAAATGCTCTCAGCAATTTTACAGAATAGCAATTTCAACAAAGGACTGATCATGTTAATAAAAAGATTAACTTTGACAACAAAATGAATAAGTTTGTTCACATGACCTTCCCACATAAATGTTAAATTATCACAAGCACTTCACTGTGTGAGCTATGTTTATTTACTGTTTCATTCATTGCACATAACAGAATACCACCAAGATATTGTTTGAGACATTAAAATACAAAAAATAAAGGTAAAACAGTTCCTCTACCTGCAATAATCACACAGATCATTTGTGAGAAAATATTATAAGACAGCTAGAGACTATAAAGAATAAACTATTTTAGCTGTAGGGCTAACCAAAAAGGTAAGGCAAGGTAAGAAAGAAATCAAGAAGGGATAGATTAATCATAAAAAAGGAAAATATTTGATCCTCATCTCTTAAAAAGTCCCATTAGGACATTATGTCATCAGGTGAGTGAGAGAGAAACATGGCTAGAAATGCAAAACAATACAGGTAAAGGTAAAAGGTACTGAAGCAGAAATAGGTAGGACTTGGACAAATAATGGTAAAACCACTACTCTGGACAAGTATAGAATAGGCACAACAAAAAAAATTTATTGTCTTTGTACAACTGTAAATGAGAGATTTTCAATATATGACTCAGAATTCAGTAACAGTTAGACTGTAAGAGATCAAATAGTTTCCAATCTTCCCTCTTGCCACAACCAATTTATTTCTCAGATTTATAAGTATTGCCTAAACCTGAGACAAAGGCTCCAGTACATGAATTCTGCAACCTTGAATTAGGTTCACACTTGAGTGGACTGATAAACCAAATCCCAGCTACAAATCCTACAGCCTGTAAAAATGGGGTAGGGTTCTATTTCAAGTGTGCAGCTTCTTTCCATTTATAGAAAAATTTTAGTTTCATTTTAAGTTATTTTAAAAATTTCTCAGAAATTAGCCATGTAAATTATATAGAAGAGATGCAAGATATTATATTGCTGGACACACTGAAAATGTATGCTATAATAATTAAATGCAGCTAAGTTTATGTTCTTATTATTAGTTTACATTTTCTCTAATTTGGATGTTTATTTTGTGCACTTGACTTTCTGCTATGATGTTTCTTCATGTGATTCATAGTGGTGATTGACATGCAAGGAGGAAATGTGTTATCACGCAAACTTGAATATAACTACAAAAACTTTCTGAGAGAAATCAATTTGGTGAAACATTTTTTTCTGTTGAAAAGAAAAGCAAGAAAATTTCAGGAAGTTGTAAACCTAAGACTTTTAAAATTATTTTAAAAGTTCCATATAGTAAATGTAATATAGAAAGTAGAAAAAAACTACTAGAAAACTTTTATACAAAAATTAAGATTTTTTTCTCATTCTGAAAGTCTAAGACATGTCTAATACTCTACTGAAATATTAGCAATAGTGATGACTACATGGGTGAGTGATACATGAAAAATATTACCAAATTCAAAGGTCCACTTAAGGGCCTGTGCAACCAAAAAGTTGCATATTCAATGAGTGAGACTTAACCACAGGGACGAGCTGGTAGTAAATTAAATTTGTGGGAGTAAAAGGAAAGATGAGGTTTTACTGATGGCATGTTGAAGAGAGAGCGAAATTTAGCTATGAACAAGGTTCAGGTCTGAGCACTCTTTTATTAGTTTAAGTAATAATAGTATTTAGCATTTATTGAGTGCTTACTATTTGCCAGGTTGTGTTCTAAGAACCTTTTATAGGTTAACGCATTTAATCCCAGTTCAGTACTCAGCCCCATTTTACAGAGGAGGAGACTGAGACACAAAAAGGATAAATAACTTGCCAAGAGTCACAGAACTAGTAAGTGATAGAACATGGTTTGAAATCTGACTGAGAGGGCTTGCAGTCTGTTCCCTCTGCCTCGAGCCTCTGATCATAACAGTTCACAAGGGTGTAGCCTTCTCTGTGTGTCAGACATTTGTGTACATTTTCTCTATTAACCTTCACAGCAATTCTAAGAGCTACATATTACTTATCCATGTCAAACATGAGAAAACTGAGATATGGCAGGCCCAGGATTAGAACCCATCCTATATTTCATGTTTTCAATATTTCTGCTCCTGCTTTGCCTAAAATAAGGGACTGTAATGTTAACTCAGAGCACACAGGTTGGATGATTCAATGAAAGACAAATATAAAAAGATTTTGAGCAAAAATTTTTAGATTTGCTCTTGATTCATGAGACACATTCATCCATACCTAGGTATTCAATAAATTTTGTTGAATGAATGATGCTCGAATGAACAAATGCACACTTAAGTGAGTGTATGGTTATACCAGCCTCTCCTCCTAACATTAAATGGTAGCATGACTCACAAAATAAGATAAGGTAAAATAACCACAACCAAACAGAGATCAGTTATTTATTTTCTTTAAAACACTTCACCTGCCACGTAAGCCACAAAAGGTCTGTCTCACTGTCTCAAATCAGCCACGAAATGCTTGGGTTGTAGCTTTCTGAGTTGAATATCCAGACTTCTGCAAGATCTGGTTAACTAGGTCAGATTAGCAAGATTTTCCACTCTATCACGTTTTTACAAAGATAGCCAAGCATAGCAACATTAAAGAAAACAATTATTCTTTATCATTAAAAAAAAAAAAGAAAAGCAAGAGGCTTCCTCAATAATCCATGACATTTTTCAATTACTGCTTGGACTAACCTTAGAGATATGTAGGTTGCTGGGCCCAAATTTTAAAACGTTTTATTTTGATTCATTGGAAAACCTTTAATTTTTTTTAAACAATTCTTAATCCAAATTGTATTCCCATCGCAAATGTTTCTAGAGGATCTTAAACCAAATCAGCATGAAACCTCGGTTGTTGTTTTTTCGTATTCAATGAGTGAGAATTAATTAGAGAACTTTCCAATCTTTCCTTGTCTCTATTAGAAGTGCTAATGCTTCAACTCAGGTGTCTTCATGTCTCAAATAACATGAAAAAATGACAAAAAATAAAAGAAACAGGATGATCTCTTCGGTACTTTGTTTTCTTCTTTTTCAACCTTAGGACTATAGGGAGCAGTATTACTTACATACCATCTTCTATTTCCTCCTTTTTGTTAAGTATTTCTATTGGGCCCAGTGTGAAATGAAATACTATAGCTACATCTTTTTTCCCTTACTATGCATATGATAGTGAATTGGTAACATCTATTTTTTTTCATAGATTGCCCTCTGAAAGAACTTGTGATTATATATCTCAGCTTTTACCTGAAACTTTGTTTCTAAAGGGTAAACATATCTAAAAAAAAAAAGGAATCAAACACATGATCTGTTTGATTTCTTCAAAATTTAGCAGCAAGTGTATTTTCTGTAAATCACGTTCATTATCAATTTGTCCTTACATTAATTTTTAATGAATAGCATTTCCATCATATATAACTTGGGATTAAATGTTTGAGACAATATATGTTAATGTTGTAAAATAAGTTGTCCTTTCCTCTCTGTTAAACCCCTACTATATTATTTAAAGTCAACAATTAGCAAGTCTCTATAGCTGTCCCCCAATGAAGGAGGTCCATCCATTAGAGTAGAGAGAAAATAACAACAAAAAAAATTTAATGGAAATAAGTTGTTGTAACTGCATAATTTAAATCTACAAATCATTTCTTTTTTTGCTTAATGTTTCTATTGTTTTTGGTTTATAGGGACCGAGCCCCTTTTATTTTTACTTCAGAGATGGAATACTTTATTACAGAGGGTGGGAAAAACCCACAGCATTTCCAAGATTTTGTGGAACTTTGCTGTCGAGCTTATAATATTGTCAGGAGACACAGCCGACTAATATTGAACATGCTAGAACTGGTAAGTCCCTTGGGGAAATAATAAAAAATAAGCTTCAATTATGTCTTTCTATGAGTAATCTATTCTTGCTAATGGCTTGGAGTTCCCCAAAGAGCTATTCAAAACAGAAAGAAATGAACAAACTAAAAGTACCATTGTACAGCTTATAAACACATTTCTTAATAAACTTACTACATTAGGTCACACTTATTGTCCCAAACATTTCTGTTCAATATTGATATAATTAGGGGTTACCTTAGCATATTTTGACTAATGATCAAGGACAGTAATTTAGAATATTGTATCAGTTGTACTGTACTTTAAGCTTTGTTTTTAAGTGCTTTTAAAAAACTAGCCCTTACACTTTATGGCAACTCAGTGATGTAGACCAGGCAAGAATTTTTCCTGGCTCCCCTCCCAATCTCTGCCTTTGGTCACTTGCCTATTTTCCAGATTAGAAACTGAGAGTTAAAAATGTGAGGTACTTGCAAGCAACTCAATCAGAGAACGCTTCATTTAGTATTATGCATTTGGTCTACTGACTCAGGGTCCTTCCTACATGCTTTCTGCTGACCAACAGGGGAAACTATCAAATACAAAAAGATGACAATCAGATATGCAGAGTGAGAGAGAAGGGATTTGTCAGAAGTGTCTTCTGGAAGAAGAATGTAGTGCTTCATTTGGTCACATACATACACACTATTTATTGCAGCAAACTGTAGGAGAGAAACACACCTTTCGTAGACCAATATGGTGTCTGGAATCAATGTGATCATCAAAAATAACTAGTTCAAAGGTTTCAGTTGACAATAATTCTACTAGATGCTGTTAAGGACACAAATTTGGTAGCCAGGGCTTCCTGGGTTTGAATACTAATTTAGAATTTTACTGGCTGCATTCCCCCAGTGAGGCTTTATTTCCTCATCTATTTAATGAAGATAGTAGCATCTACCTTATATATGGAGGATTGATAAATGCCTAACCTAATAGTGAATGCTTTGCATGAGCGCTATACTAAGACCTTTATGTGTGTTAATTGCTTTACATTTCATAATAACCCTAATAGATAATTAATATAAGAAACTTAGCACAGTACTTACCATATGGCAGGATTCAGTTAATTTATTATACTAGATCCTTGTTAATCCATAAAAATACTGTCCAATACAGTATGCCCTCCTCACATATGGTTATTTAAATTTAAATTAATTACTATTGAATAAAATTTTAAATTCAGCTCCTTAGGCTCATCAGCTACATTCAAAGTGCTCAATACCCTTTCACACAGGTGGCTAGTGATACCATATTGGACAGCGCAGCTCTAATACATTTCCATCATTGCAGAAGTTTTATTAGGCAGTGCTGAATAAATGTTGACCTTGTTGCAATAAAGGTTTGATTTGGGTCATTGTTTTAACTTTAAAACAACATGTGTACCTTACTTCTCTTTTCTCTGTCTTGAAAAAGATGGGAATTTTTTAAAATATTATAAACATGTAACCCTTCTTATACAAAGACACTTAAGTTTCTTAAAGAGTAAATGGGATATATAAGGTTCTGCTCATCTTCAGAATTAAGTTGGCTTTCCAATAACTTCCAGTGGTTCACATTGGTAGATTTGTGTTTTACCTCTGAATCTTTGAATTCTATTATGCCATATTGTAATTTTGAGATGCCTTATGGTTCATAATCTGTGTTCATACCACAAAGGAAACTCTACAAGGACTAAGTCTGTGACCTGGACTCCATTTACATAATAAATATTCAGATAGTATCAACTCTAATATTTACTTGGGATCTAGCAAACTCTAACTCATGAATCCCCGAGCTCTTGCTTGCTTACTATATACCAGAAATTGTGGAGGATACATTAACACATGACACCCAGTCTTAAAATTTTCAATTTAATAAGGAAGCTAAAGTTCATGTACACAAGTAACTAAGGAATCCAACATTTCTGAATGTCTATAATGCTGTAAATAACTACATACAAGAGTAAGTACCATACTAACTATGACTTGAACCAGGCATTTGAAAAACAAATCCAAAGAAGAAAAGCACAAATATAGTTTACGCTGTTTCTCAGGAGACACTAGAATTATGCTGAATGATAATAAGTGAGTATGTTGATGTAAAAGGATGGCTTTTTGAAAATATAGATTCAGAAAGCTACTGGTAAAAAAAAAAGAAAGAAAGAAAAAGAAAGCTATTGGCAAGCTTTTGTCTCTTATTTAGTAAATTTTTCTACCTACCTAAAAAGAAAACTGCTAGCATGTCATAATATAGTCATCATTAAATTACAGAGTTAATGTAATCTTATTGCATTTAAAAACATAGATACATAATTTTTTCAATTTTTTATTGTTACTCTATTGCAATTGTCCCAATTTTTCTCATTTTCCCTCTTCCACCTAGCCCATCTCCACTCCCACAGTGAATCCCCACACCATTGTCCATGTCTGTGGGTCATTCATACATATTCTTTAACTAGTCCCTTCCCCTTTTTCCATCATTACCCCCCTCTCCCCTCTCTTCTGGCTACTGGTCAGTCTGTTCCATGTTTCCATGCCTCTGGTTCTATTTTGCTCACTTGTTTATTTTAAAAATTCTTTTCATATAATATTAAAATCAAATATTTAATATTTCTGGTATATTATATATCAAAAAATCTCCCTCTGTTTTAATTATTCAAGCCTTGATTTTTAGGCTAAGGAGGAATATTTGGCAGTGAAGAATACTAATTCAGATTAAGCATATAATCTTAGATTTAGTTTGTTACAGAAATTGAAACATAGATCAGAGTCAATGTGGACCTATTAGACTAATGAACAAATGTGTGTGTGTGTGTGTATGTAATAGAGTAGTGTGTTATTCACTCTGTTTCTGGTCAATTACCTCTTGGTTTTCTTCTTTTCAGTTTTCATGTGGCATTCTGTAGATAATCAAAGCATGAGTAAAGGTTTCAGGACCACACTTTCTGTACTATAGTTTCATATAATAAAAACTAAACTTAAATTTATGAAAGACTATTTTCTATCTATGTGGGTAATCTACATTTCCCTCAATTCCCTCTCAAATAGGCTCTCACTGTGTAAAATTCTTTAAAAAAAGAACTCAAAGTACTGTACCATGACCCAGTTACAATTTAAGAAATACTCTATATGAGTCATAAGTTCTATCTTCCATGAATGGTCAGTATCCAGGAGCTACACGTTTGGTACGTCTACTACAGAGTTAATGGTTCATCCTCAGTAGAGAGCAGCATGTTTCCAGATATCCACAGATCATTTTATTTACTCCTGGAAAAAGCAGGGGAAAATAATCCTTGAAATTCCCATCCTGCTTAAAAACACAACATCTGCAGGAGACTCAAGAGTGTTGCTGACTGAATTCACTAACATAAAAGCCTGTATTTCATCAGCTTTTCTCTCATTAAAAAATCAATATCAGCTATTATGGAAGGTTCCCAAAGAACACGGGGACCATTCACCCAGTTTAAAATGTTTTTCACACCCATTATTATACCATATATTTCCCAGCAGAAATCTTTCTGACTCCTCTATGTGGTGGTGAAGACTGTCTGCTTCCTGAAGCACAGCTATCAAAATGGATGTGGATTTAGAAGGAGAATAGAAGTAGAAAAAATTTTAATGTTCCTATCCTTCAAAAAGAATTTATTTGTCTTTTACTTGTACTAGCCACTTTTTCCTTTTTCCTTTTCCTATAGTTGCAGTTAAAGTTATTGCTCATGTAACCTAAGTGAGAAGACATTTGAACTACATCTCTGTGGTCTAAATGGACCCAGGTTTGAGACAATCTTCATTCTGATGTGCACATACACAACGCTCTAATCCTTCTAAGGAATGGAGCACATCAACAAGGCAAGGTCAGCACTTGCTACCTTTCATTAGCGTGTGCTAGGGAGAGAGCTAGGGTTCTTCTGATTTGAAGGTGGCTGCACCTCACACTCATGTAGAGTGTGTGTGTGTGTGTGTGTGTGTGTGTGTGTGTGTGTGTTGGCAGAGGAAGGAGGAAGTATAGGATCTACTTCCCAAGGAAATATTTGACAGAGTCCTAAACAAGCAGGTGTGAATTCAGGGTACTATAAAAACTAGAAAGCAATTCATATCTAGAGAAAAGGAGTTTTCTTAGCAAATGAACATTCACAGTGTGACAGAGGGAGAAACTGCTTCAGTAAGTACACATATGTTTCTAGAACTCTAAGTACAGAACTGACCAGGTAAAGCCTAATCTAGACTCTTGTTGCTTTTGAGACTGTATCTCCCTATGGTTGATTTTAAGTTTAGCAGTCAAATGTTGGACTTGCTACTAATAAGTTTTCAATGCCAGACAGGGTCAAGTATTTTTTATTCATGCATGCATGCATGCATGCGTTTATTATTTCATAGACATTCTTTAAGTTCTGTTATTTACAAAGTACCATGCTAGATGCTATAGACAATTCAACATTAAATAAATACTCAGTTCCTGTTCTCAAAGAAGTTAAAATCTAATCTGACAAACGTATAAATAAACAAAATATAGTACGATTTAGGCAGTGATAAGCACTGTGAAAAAGGTGGGGCCAAGTATAAAGAAACCAAGTATATATAAAGAAACTATATATATCAAGAGGATCTATGATGCTTCAAGGAGGGGCTGGAGAACTAGAAAAAACATGTTCAATTTATCTAGGGAAATAAAGATGAGGGGTTGAACTAGGGCAATAATTGCAATGGACAAGAGGAATGAATACAGGAGACTGCTGAGGTACCTTTTACAGAATTAAGTAATTGACCCTGGGAATCAAGAAGAGGAAGAAATAAAAGAAAGTTTGAATTTCTTGTTAGTTGGGCAGTGGAGGAATTGAAAACAGAAATAAAACAGGGAAAAGGAAAAGAATTTATAGGAGAATTTGCTCAAATTTAGATATCATGAATGTGAGCTGCTAGAATGTGATCATCCATGAGGAGAGGCTGTTGACAACTTTCCAGGACTACCTGGACCGTTTTCATGGTTTCAGTTACTATCTGCATGCTACTGACATACTAAGCTATATGGTTTAGTCCTCATCCAGCCCTCCAAATATACATGATCAACCCCCCAGTTTTCTCAATTCCATTTATATTTAAAATCCAATACCTTATCTTCATTCCTAAATAGTCTCCTAATCCAGCCTCTCTTACCTGACTTCACTTAAATGTACTTTTTAAAAATAACAACAATGAGCCCTGACCAAATGGTTCAGTTGGTTGGAGGATCATCCTGTACACCATAAGGCTATGGGTTCAATTACCAGTTCAGAACACATACACACACCTAGGTTGCAGGTTCAATCCCTGGTTAGGGCATGTATGGAAGGCAACTTATTGGTGTTTCTTTCTCACATCAATCTCTCTCTCTCTCTCTCTCCTCCTCCCTTCCTCTCTCTCTAAGGTCAATGAACATATCTTCGAGTGAGGTTTTAAAAAATAAAATAACAACAATTAATTCTCCAAAATACAATGCAATTACTTTATTGCCCATTTAAAAACACTATAAGAGCTATCTCTTGCCTTTAGGATAAAGTACAAAATCTTTTATATTTCTAAAACATCCTACCCTACTTACCCTTTCAGCCCAATCTCTTGTCACTCACCCACGGGAGACCCTATGTTCCAGAAAGCTATCTTGGATTTCGTTCTATGAAAAAAATGGAAGATGCTTGTTCTCCCCTGTACATCTCTTTGTGCTGTTCTCTCAACCTGTGTAGGAATAGGAAGAAAGGAAAACAGTTTCAAATTCACTTTTTTCTCCCTTTGACTTCATCAAGTCAATCACAATTTCCCCCGTCTGCCATAGCCATATTCTCAGTTTATCCTTTATTTTTAGGATCGGCAGCATTGTTCTTAACTTTTCACAACTGTAAAAGTGTCTTAACTCCAGAGCAGAAAATAATTTATCATCTTAGTCATAGAGGTACTGATGACATCATTCCTCTTCTTTTATTTTATTTTTTTGCAAAGTTCACATTTATTTCAGAAAGATGTAGTTTTTCTTTCCTCAAAGAGTTTTGCTTGTAACTGCAGAGAATGTCATACCTTCAGTGTACACTATAATGTAAACAAAGTACTCTTCTAAAGGTTGGCAGAAAAATGCCTGAGCCTTTGTACAATTATACCTTTAATTATTTCATTGCTTTAATAATCTTTAATAAATACACGATCACCATTTAACTAGAGAAAATTATGTTCTGATAGTATGAGTCATAGAGTCATGGAAGACAATAAAATAAGAATCAGAGGGATGAGTTTTATATCCTATGTGCTCAGACACCATTTGACCTAGACATTTCTATTACAGTTTGGAAGGAATTAAATTTTTCTTCTTTAAAAATGGGGATTGCAATGTGTTTTTTGTAACAATGTATAAAGTATAAAGCTCTTTTTTGCTCATTAGCTATTTGATTTTCCCAGAATATGGTGGGTGTATGTATATCTACTTTAAGAATGAGAAGAAAAAATACAATTGAAAGATTAAAAAATAAAAAATAAAAATGAGAAGGTAAAGGGGGTATAAATGGTGATGGAAGGAGACAGAATTGCTTATCTGAAACCTATATAATTTTATTAACTAATGCCACCCTAATAAATTTAAATTTAAAATTTAAAAATAAATAAGTATAATGAGAAAATGGAGGTTCAAAGTGGTTAAAAGACATTTTCAAGATTATTCAGGTTTTAAATGGTGGATCCAGATATTCTGACATTAAATATCTTATTATTTCCACTTTCCCACGCTGGATATGCCTCTTCTACAAGAAGACAATATAGGGATAAATAATACTCTCATGCTTACTTCACTAGCTTATGATAAAGTTAAATTATTTTGCAAGTACTTTGATGATTTTATTGGTTTTTAATTTTATTATTATTTTTGTTGCCTCTACTGATAAGTATGGCAGGTTAAAAAACATGAACATAGTTTTTCATGTGAGCAACTGAAAGGCATCGCTATGTAAATTTGTTTCTGTGCACTTGTAGAATTAACTAAGTAAGCTTAACCAAACTTAACCAACTAAGATTTTATTTACATTTATCCTGAGGTTTTGTGTTTTATTTGTTTGTTTTGCCAAGATGCTACATGCAGGGCTGCCAGAGCTCAGTGGGATCCAAGACCTGAAATATGTGTACAATAATCTTCGTCCACAAGACACAGACCTGGAAGCAACAAGTCATTTTACCAGGTAAAGTGAACCGTGAATGTATGAGTGCATTTATGCCTGTGTGCACACACATGTTTCATATTTGAGATGATTTTCACGTGAACAGTCATCGGAATGAAGCTGTCACTTCTGAAACCAGCTTGTGTCTTCTTTCCCAAAGGGTAGGAAAGAACAATGTGATTGTCAGTGTTTCTGTAGCACACTATTGTTCGCTAACCAGACTCTTTATCTAACACATCGCTCAATAAGAGGTCACTGGAAAGAGCAACGGCTGACAAAAATAAATTGGTTGTTCTACTTGAACTATGTCCAGGAAAACCATTTGGAAAAAGAGATTTATGATGAGATATAAACTCACTACTTTCATCTCTAAGAAAATACAGTGATGTGTCACTGCTTGGACAGAGCAATTATAGTGCTACAATTTACAAACAGTCCCTCCTATCATTAAAAAAAAAGGAAAAAACTACACTTTGGATGAAAAAAGCTCTTTCAGGCCTTGACCGAAGGAAAAATGTAAATGTGCTTTGTTTGTCAACCTGAGTCCCATCCCTCCACATCCCCCAGTTTCATCTGAAACACTCAGATCGGTAAAGAAAATGTGAACTAATATTGGCAGTAGATCTGAAACCAATAATCTCCTGGCAGAGAATTAGTATATCACCTACCGGCATACCTTCTGCCAGGCTAATTTTCTCAATTCCGGGTGTTATGTAATGTGTTCTTTCAATTAAACTTCTTTTGAGAAATTTATGGTAAAGAACTTGTTCTCCATTGCAAAGTTAAAAGGCATCTAGTCATCTAAATTAGGGCAGGTCATTTCTCTGTTCAATGATTGTCTTTGATTTGCCATTTCCTTCTTCTAACTTTTGGGGACCTTATAATTTAATTGTCTTCATTAATTTTTTTCCACCACAAATTTATTATCATCAAGTGAATCCTCTTCTGGGTTGATCACTTTTTCAATATACATTCATTCCTGCTTTATGTATTTAACTCATGTTCATAGCCTCATCAGAAATGCTCCCAAAGAATAAAAAATTAATGGAATGAAGGGGGAAAGTCTGATTGAGCTTTCATCCTATTCAGCCCTTGAGATTCTGGACACCTACTACCTCATCCACAAAACCTTCTCAAATTATTCTAGTATTGACTGGTCTTTCCCTCTATAATTCTACAAAACATGTACTTTTCATGCTATACTTAATTTATTACTGAATTACTTACCATCTTGTTGGTTACATCAATTTCTCTCAAGTAAAGCAGGAGATATAGGCCCACTTCCAAAATATATGAATGTAAAATAAACTCTGTTTCTCTTAAAATACATTAATGAGTTTAACACAAAACATAATTTTAAACATCAAATATTCAGTATAGAAAAAGCATATAAAGTGGTTAATATTTAATACAATGCTTCTTGTGCATCAGGCCCTGCTCTAAGTGCTTTTCATATATTAACTTACTTAAGCATCACAACAAGTCAGTGAGGTAATGTCATTTTTATCGACATTTTTAGATTAGAAAATTGAGACCCCAGAGAAGTTACATGATTTTCCAAAGGACACAGCTCACAAGAGAGAGCCACGATTTGAATCCAGGGGGTCTTGCCTCAGAGCATGGGGTCTTGCAGGCTCTGGGAGATGTGTTGCTGCTAATTCAGACCATAGTTTCTTTGAGGTTCCTTAGAGCCCATGTTGGCTGCAGTTTAACCAAAGCAGATCTTGCACCCTTCCTTGGGCACTAATCCTGACTTCCTGAATAGCCCAAGCCTTGGTGGAGGACAGAAGTGCCTTCCTGGAATTACTACCTCTGTGCACCGCCGGGGTCCCTGGGTGTTTGATCCAGCATCTGGGTAATTGCTGGCCAAGGAGCCCTCATGGGACATTTTGACTAGTGACACCAAGGCAGTCACCTTCCTTCCTTTTCCTGCTTTGGCCCATTACCAGATGCCTTGAAACTTTCTATAACTTTTCCCCTTTTTCCTCAGAGAAATCTCCCATGAGATTCACTCTCCCTCTGACTTCCAAGAGCCTGTCTCAGTAGTATATTTTATCTTAAAGCCTCAATTGCATGCCTTTGTTTTCAGATATGACTTAATTTGTTTTAAGCATGTCTTTTCAACTCTTCTCTAAGTTCCCTGGTCAGTTTGTGTGGATCAAGTGTTAAGAACCTTTTCTATGACACATCCCATCCACTACTGTGAAGAACTTGCTATTGAGATTCAAAAAACATCAAGTGATTGTGACTATGGTTTTTTACCTTTAAAAAAAAAAGTTACTTAAAATCTCTCCATTATTTAGATATTTTAAAATTTAAACAAATTATACAATATTTCTTTTTTAATGTAAAAATATTAAACAATGGATAAAGCAAATTTATAAAAATAACTTGGTTAATTACAAACAACAATGGGAGCTTTGAATGACAAGATTTAAATAAATGTTAAAAATTATGTATACTTGTTTACTTTCTGTGTAAATACTATTTTGTTTACTTTTCTGTGTAAATACTATTATCTTAAGCTACAGTCTCTGACATTACATGGACTTCTTAAGGAGAAACTTGAAGTTTAATCATCAGTGCCCATAATTTACCAAAAAAGAAACCAAGTTCTGCAATGGATCCAGGACAGGTCTTGGTGCTTCAAGGAGTGACATTAACTCTACATACTTATGAGGGCCCCTGTATATTTAAACTTCTTGTCCTCTGTACTGATAGGCTAAAAGTGTTTCTTAGTCATTGTTTATTTAGGTATCACTTCTAAAATACAGATAAAAACAAGACAAGAAAATCCACCCTCCTCACTTACCACTAAACTCACAGATCTGGGTCTTGAATGAGGACTAAACCATCTGAGACACAGCGTATCTAGCCACCTGAGATGCCTTAGTCCTGACTGCAGTATTCACATTAAGAGCTGCCATTCTTAAACCTGTTTGAGACTTGAAAAAAAGGAATGGACTTTCTTGCCTCTCCAAGGGAGTACTCTACTTATGAATAATACAGGGTCCTACCTCACTCTTAGACATTCACATTTTGTGTTAAGAGCTGACTATAAGAGTTTCAGAGGATACTGTACTCCATGTGGCATTAAAAAGTGTATCACAATTAATGGCATTTAGAAAAAAATGAATATAAAATTGTTTTCCCGGCCACAAAGGTTTTTCACATAATTGCCAACTGTTCTCTCTGCTTCCCTTAATTTTTTTTCTATTCCCCTTTCAGCTGAGTGCTGTTGAATAGAACCGAGAAAGTATAATGACTCAGTCCCTGCAAATTGATACTCTCATGTAATATCTCTGCTGGGCCCACTGCTAGGCAACAAAGGCAACCATCCATTAAAATGCTGTCCAAACGGGTTATTTCAGAATTTTCAATCACTCTCAAACCTCGGGTTAGCTGTCCTTAGAAACAGATAACCTATTTCACAGCCCAGGCAGGATCATTAAGCATAAGCTTCTCTGCCTAACCCCCTTCTCCTGTACAGATTATGCTTTTTACATCATCTATTTCCTCCTCCAAAAATGTGAGAGGAAATTTTTCATGTTTTCCCAGTATTCCTTTTGGTCTGCCACACCGATTTTTTGGTTTAGTAGGTATAAGAACTTTTGTTCTTCAGCTGAAATTGAAAGTAATTTGAAGGAAAACAAAACTCCAAACCTCAAAAAACAAATAGCTTGCATTAGTGAGGTGTTTTGGTAACAAGAAGCAAATTTTACCAGGTATCCTTGAGAAAAGGGAGGTACATATATATAGACTCAAACTGTAAACTAACAAACCCCAGAACCTGATAGGCTCTGGTTAGTTTCTAATGCAAAACAAGATCTTCTACTCTGTTTATTTCTCTATTATATTCTACTTCTCCTTGTGCATTGGCCAATATTCTCTAGGATAAATTCCAGAGAGAGACAACCTCATGGACTTAATTAGTTGCCTTTGTCCCTTTTGGACAGGGTCCTTAATAAAAAGCCATCATGGATTCTTTTCTCTGTCTATACTCCTATCATAGGCCATCCCTTCACAAAGAACAACTTAGAGCTTCTTCTCTGCACAATGAGCTTTACAAAGAATAGTATTAGTTATAAGGGGCCACTGGGCAGAGCAGGCACAGCAACTGTCCCAACAGGTACAACTGTGAAGCCACTGGAAATGTCAATGGCACCCAGAGAGAGTGTTCCCAGGCTCCACATCACAGACAAAGGAGCCAGAGGCCCTGAAGCACCCGGGGTATGCAGGCACAATGCCAGAACTTCCCAGGGCTCCTTGTTCCTCCTTATTTATTTCTCATGGTTACAGAGTGAGGAAAGACTCTTTATGCCAAATGTCTCAAAACATGCCTTTCTATCTGGTTTCTTTCCAGGACTGAGAGAGACTGGGACATGGATACAGGTCCCTCGGTTCTTTCATCATAAATTTTTCTTGATGCTTTCTTAGCTCTTTGTGAATTTTTGTCTCATGAATGACTGTATTTCCACAAATAAAAGTCAAAGTTTTCCTTTGCCTTAACCATTGATACCTGCGGAAATAAATGCCCGCAAAAATGTAAAATAAAATAAAAAGAACCTAGAAGATTTAATAGTGTCCAACTTTCCTAAATTAGAAAAGCAGCTGCAAAGGAAAATGCAAAGTAAAATTTCTCCTTTCATTGTGAAAGTCTCCATTTTTAAAATTTAATTATAAGAACTGATCTGAACTAAATTGACTTGATAAAGTAAATTTTTTAACTGCAGGTATAACAGCTTTTACAATACCGTACCTCCTAAATTTTGTGACCCAGGCACACTCATTATGATGTTTGAAAGTTTACTTGCGGTTCTACATTTTGGCAATAAGAGAATCTCTATTTCTGAATTATGTTAAGTTACACTGAAGTTTTGCTCAATTTGCCTAAATATCAACTCAGGATACACCTTAGGTTAAAAAAAAAAGAAGAAGAAAATCTTTTAAACTCTTCAGGAGACTATCAGGCTAAAGACTAAAGGCATTTGAAAAGTTTAATATACCCACCAGAAATCATTAGTTTGAAAAGATGAATGGTCCAGATGGCACTTGCACAACAGCTGTTACCTCCCAACAGCTACGTGCATCAGTCAGTCCTCACTGGGATCCCTGACCTGCGCGTTGCATAAAATCACTCTATTCCAGGAGTTTAACAAGCAACAAGACTAAAATAATTTACTATTTTTAAATATATTGTCATATTTTAAAGATTTTGTTGGCTTAATTATTGCACCACTTATCAGCATTTATTTTTTTATCATTGCATATTAAGATTTCTTGCTTTGCATACAATTTTATTTTAATATCCTCAATAAAACGAGCTGGCTTTGGGAAGGGAAGAGAGTAACCTGGAATATCATGCTACTGGCATATTATTGATACGTAATATGACCAGTCCACCAACGTTTCCTTAGTTCCTTTATTCCATTTGCTTTCATTTGACCAATTTTTGTAAGGAGCTTCTTTAAGAAATTGATAAAAATTACTTATTCAGAGTCAAGGCCGTGGAGCCTGGAACTCTTGTTTATAAGCAGAGTTAGTTACCTGTGCTGACATTTACATAAGACTTGCCGACTTGTAGGTGAATTCTAAAGACTTGAAACTTCAACTGGGAAAACAGCAAAGTTTGTTTTGTTTTTAAAGCCAAGTTCTAAACTATGAAGCAAGAGAAAAAAGAAACTTTGAAGTACCTCTCCTTAATCCTTATCAATTATCTATCTCATGTAAAATTTCAAGAGAATTTACCACGTTTCAGTTTTCACAGAACCGTAACTTGTACATGTGTGCCAACTTTGGGACTCTTACATATTTATTTCTTGACTTAACTAGTGGTAACATTTCTGAAATATTATTTGCATAGTATAAAGATGATGAACATGAGTTGGAATTTTTGGTTACTACTTTCTGGATGATGTCATCTTTGGTACACATTTCACCTGTCTTGGCCTTTTTTATCTATTGGTAAAATAATTACACTGCTTTCCTCTGAGGATAAAAAGATTAACATAAGGCATTATGCAGTGGCTGCCAGAAGATATATACTCCCTCAGGGCAGAAATCTCATTTCTTTCCTTTGCATCTAAGTCCCAGCATAGATAGCAGTGCCTAGCAGGGAGTTAGAAGCATTTATCAAGACTGCCTCAAGGCTTCCCCTAGGAAATATAAGAACTGGATCCTTCCAGCTGCTGCTTTGGACCTGTAATAGGAGGGTGCTCCAAAGCCTAACCCTGCTGATGCTGCAATTAAACAAAATAAACAGAAAGCTGCTACCTGGATTTTTTAAAAAATCCTCACAGAAGCCTAAAACTTACTGCTCTCAGGGTACCAGGACCAAGTGGAGTCATATGTGATAGCACTGAGAAATGGATTTCTTAAAACTACATAGGTTTATTGTAAAAGTTTACCCTTCACCTCCAGCCTTCTTACATCTTAACTGCTGGGTAACATATGAAGAAGTCATGAACATGATTGAGATTTTGCGAGGGTGAGTACATCAGAACTTAATATTTATGGTTCATAAGCTTATCTTCATAAGAAATGAGTGCATACTGTCATCTGAGAGCTTTCCACCCTAACATATAAAATATGCTCAGTAAATATTAGTTGAATGAATGAATGAATGGGAGAGTCTCCATAAGTCATGATTACTAGTATATGTCTATTATTATTATGTTCGTGTCTTTACCAGTCAAGAAATGAATGTTGTATATTGCACTATATGTCCATAAATTCAAAGAACATCTTTAGATATAATGAACACTGTGGAAATGAATAATGATCTGAGTCATATTTTAACATTTTTAGCAAATTTTGCACTGGATTGATGTATAACAAAGGAAAAATTTCAAATTTATTCAAAAGAATCTAAGAGCAAGATAAATGAGCTTAAAATTTTATAAAATTGAGGGGACAATTATTAAACATTATTGAACTACACTGTTAACACTGAGGCTGTGGCAGATTAGTTGTAGAGAAGGCATTGCAACTTTGACAGAAGCCTACCTGAAGAAAATAACCTTCTATTTTATTGTAAAGCTCTGTATTTAAGCTCTATTTTATTGTTATTTTCCATTTGAATAAGACAACAAATATGCCAATTTAAGAGAATTAACCAAAACAATTGAAATAACAGAAGTTCAGTAAAATAAGTGGTTACAAGGTAAACATTCAAGACTCAGTTAAAAAAAAAAAAAAAAGAGGAAACGTTATACGATCACCTCAATAGATACCGAAAATTAGATGCAGAAAATGCAGTTAATAAAATGTAGAATCACTCATTTTGAAAAACTCTCTAGAAATATAAAGAAATGTCCTAAACCTATAGCTAAAAAACTACAGAAAACATTGCACTTAATGGTATAACAATGAAAGTGTTTCTTTTGTAATCAAGAACAAACTTTGCTTGTCACAGCTTTTATTTAACATTGAACCAGATGTTTTAGCAGTACAAAGGGTGAAAAAAACTCCTTCATTATTTGAAGATTAGATGACTGTGTCAGCACAAGTTTCAAAAGAATATACAGATATAGTGTTAAATTAATGAGTTAAGATTTATTCTTATATCATCAAATATTAATTAAAATAAAATTTAAGGAATTTTCTAGAAAATCAAAAGACAAAATTCTTTACTGAAAGACCCATTACATATTGAGAAAAATTACCTAGAATAACCAAATTGAAACATATTTTAGACAAACTATTGGACTTCAAAGAAAAATAAATTTTCTTTAAGCATTGAAGCAAAAAGAATAAGTCCTTTATAAGGGAAAGAAGTTTGGAATGTTATAAGAGTTTTGGATAGTAATCTTTTTTTATTTATTGATATTTTTGAGAGAGAGAAAGAGAAACATTGATTTGTTGATCAACTTATTGATGTATTCATTGGTTGATTCTTGTATGTACCCTGACCCAAGATTGAACCCACAATCTTCTGGTATTGGGATGACACTCTAAGCAACTGAGCTACCTGACCAGTACTTGGATAGTAATCTTTTATTCCAGAAGAAAATGGAATAATATTTTTATGGCACTGAAAAAAAGAAACTATGAGACAAAAATGTTGTATCTAAGCAAACTGACCTTCAAGTATAAAGGTCACAGACAAGCTATTATGAACACTGAAGACTCAGAAACTTATTTCCTTGATTATTCCTGAGCAATTTATAAGAATTAGCTTCATTGTCAAAATGACTGAGTGATGTAAACATAAGCACTGGTTGAGATTTAACTATAGTTAGGAGAGACACTGCATAGTACGTATAGTATAAATACTACTAAAGTAAAAAAGGAAAGTGGAATAGGAATCACATATAAAAAGTAGAATAATCATACTGTTTGCTTTGTAGTATTAACTGAGATAAAATGGACAACACTGCAAATTAGATACTGGAGAAGAATAAGAGGTATAAAGGGGATAAAGAGTATTATATAAAGATATTTGTTATACCACTAGAATACATTTGCAAACTTTCTTAAATACAAAAAAATTAACTTTAAGTAGAGACACACTAAAACAAAACAAAAAAAGGCCAAAGAGTAAAAAACAGTTCATATAAAATACTTGTATATTAGATACAGGATCATACATAGTATGCAACTTTTTGTAAGATAGGTAAAAGAAGGACACAAATGTATACAAAAATAAAAAGTAAAATAATGAAAGTTAAACCATAATTTAAAAAAAATTTAAATATACAGGAAGAGAAGGAATAACAGAGAGAGTACAGGGGTAGATGCTGGGCTTCTTGAAGTGGACATTCTTTTGTAGATTTAACTTCTGGATTCATGTAAATACTTTAAATAATTATAAACTAAAATTTTAAAATGTCATCTCTAAAAATAGCCAATAAATCTAAACAGTTAAAATACAATATTATAATTACAGTTTTATATTTCACCATGAAAGTTTGTTTTATATTTGCTAATTACTAAAGATGTAAACTTGAAGTTTATAAAATTAAATTTTAGTTGCTGGACTCCAAATAAACATCTTTGCTTCCTGACTTTTTTCTCCACATCTAGCAAACACAAAGAAACAAATTTTAAGCAAAACAAGTCAATTGAAGGGAATGTAACTCATTATCTTTTCTTTTTCATTTCTCTAGGAAAATAAAGGAAAGTCTGGAGTGTTTCCCTGTTAAATTGAATAACTTAATTCACACACTTGCACAAATGACAGCCGTAAGCTCTACCAAATCTACTTCACAGAATTTTTCCCAAAAATCTTGTATGCTGAGTGCAACCAGGTCAATTCGAAGAGCGACAATTTTAAGGTTCAGCAAGAAAACTAGAGCTGTAAGTGTCAAGTTTGTTATCTTGACTTAAGTATCATGCAAGTTCATCACAGCCTCCAGTTTACTATGCTACACATCCTTCCTTAAACCATGATTTTTTTTTGTACTATGCAAATGAAAAATCAGTGACAGTTTGAGCATAAGTGCCACTAAGGAGGATGTTCCAAGGAGAAATCTTAACAACAAGAGCCATTAGAAGAGAACCATCAAAGAGAACAGATCCAGCCAGTAGTAGAATATAAATCAAGAGCTAATTAAAGTGTCCACCGGAAGAGCAGAAATTAGGCGGTCTGTTCCCAGTACATAAGATTATGATATCATGTATGCTATGTTTATGTGTAATTTTGCCCTTACAAATTGCATTTCTCAGCTTCCATGATGAGTTTTATATTTTTATGCACGAAGATTCTCGTTTTGTTTTGTTATATACAATGAGATTTTAGAAGGTATCACGGATTGATACTGCTGTCTTTTGATTTTTGTCTATTTATTTTCCACAGCTATATCTAATCCAGGTAACACACAGTAACAATGAAACAAGCCTGACAGAAAAGTCATTTGAAGAGTTTTCAAAACTTCACAGTCAACTTCAGAAGCAGTTTGCATCACTGACTCTTCCAGAGTAAGGCGCTGTCCTCCACAGTGTTTGCCTTCAGTGCTTGTCCTTGAACATAAGGGGAAATAATGGTTATGAGATTTTCTACTTGTGAGCAACACAGCATTCTGACTCCAATGCCATTCAGCCTATCCCAGCAGAGAGTCTGTATTGCTTTCAAAGCAAAAAACCTTGTCTCACAAAACAGAACAAGGTTTTCAATTTTCTGTTTGCTTCCAGCCATCAGTTTTGTAGATAGAAAAATTGAAAACCAATTACATTTTTAATCAGTTTCTAGAAAAATTGTTTTATTTGCCTATTTTTAAATTTAATCTTTTTGGGGGTTTCTATAAAAATGAAATCGAAATTGAAAATTCAAAACTAAATTGAATAGATCTACTCTAAAAACAAGTAACTACAATATACAGTTCTGATATATTTATTTGCTGTTCCAGAAAAAGTTAAAATTTTAATATAGTAAAATTTGATATAGTAAATTTAATACAGTAAAACTTTAATTTAGTAAAATTTATTAAAATCAACTCACTTTGTTTATCATTAATTATTGGCTTTGATTTGCACTATCAAAATTTAGTTTGTTTTTATGTTCATTTTGAGGTAATCTTGAAAGTCATTGCTTCCTGTCATGTTTTATTGAAAAAAGTATTAAATGTAAGCAAACTAAATGAAACTAACTTCTGTTTAAACAAACTTTCTAAAATGTGTAAAATAGAATTAGCCAAATTTAGGTCATAGTCTTCAGTGTATCACAAGATATACCTTAACTTTAAAAAGGCGAACTTCCAGAAATTATGATATTAGCACCCTGATAAACCAAATGCAGTTTTACCTATACTGGAATTTTTAAGTAAATTGTCCTTTAACAATGTGAATGTTCATACCTGACCTGATATACTTTGTACATAAGGATTTTTACTAGGCTTTCAAGGTTTAATCAGTTTTCAAAATATAAAGCTAAGCAAAGATATCAATGGATGGAGAGATGTTGTGCAATATTGACAAATGAGTAGTTCACATTCATGAAAAACTATACTTGCAGATGTCACAGAAATTTTGAAATACAGATGCTTTAAATGGCAGTAAGTCAACAAAATTAGAGTAAGAGCACATTCAAGAGACTGGAAGGAAAGGAATGCGGTTGTGAAACTCTTAAAAGTAACATCAGTTTTAAAAAATCTGATAGAATAACTGAGAAAGAAGAAACACTGGCAAAAAAATTCAGATTGGCCGCACATACTGAATTCTGTATCAGTGGTTGCCATCATACCATACTAAGAAATGATTTAGAAGTATAAGTTAATTTGTGTGAAAGAGCTGTCCTTTTCAATTTCAAAAACTTCTCTGCTCTACACTTTTATCTCTCCAGTAATATTAGTATAACTTGTAAAACTTTAAAAGTGCTAATAATCATTCTATATATGCCTCTTCTTGATTTTCACTTTTAGTTAGGACTTTGCTTTGCTCAACAACTATTGCCTGGTAATGGCACCTAAATTGATTCTAAAACCGTTCAAGCAAGGTGTTGAGGAGAGGAACATTTAGTCCCACGTACCCTGAACAATATCTGTGTGCTAACAGTCTCAAAAGAGCTAAGGCTTACAGTACTGCATACAAACTAAGGATGAGGCCAAGATTGCCTCTGCTTCTAAATTTCCTAAGAGGAGCCCTATGAGAATTAAATAAACCTGATCTGGAAAGTATGATAAAAAAGTTAGAATCATGAAGAATGAAATTCAAATCACTCACAGCATAGGACTGTGGTCTTCACATTGGGCTATTTGTATCTCTGCCTACCTTCTAAGAACACGCAGGCTTGGAAAGCTTCTTCAATAATGGTGGGCTCCCTTAAAATTAACCTGCTTGAGAAGGGTTGATGTCCTTTCCCTCTTCTATTTTCAGCAATCATCCACAATCTGTTATGGTACATTGTCCTAGTAAAACGTTTAGGCACAGTTGAGGATCAAATAAAAGGCAAATCAAAATACTGGTGTCAAATATGTCTGCAAGTCAGGTGTTTTCCAACCTTTGGTCTGATCAAAATTAACAGAGGAAATTATATCACTGTCAGGTAAAAAATCATTAAAAAAATCATTAAAAAAATGATTTTTAAGAACTGAATTCTATGTTATATTTAGCATATAATACAAAAGTACCTCAAACAATTGAATGATATTACTATAACTGAATTCCTCATGCATGTTATACACAAGATATTTTTTAGTACATATATCCATAAAAATATCAACAAAGGGATAGAACTGTTGTTGAATTCCATCTTATTTTAGCAATACGAAAAATTTGTCCACAGATATATAAATTATTTAAAACCAGCCCAATACATCTGTTTATCAAATGCATTTCTATGCTTTGATTAGTTGCATATAGCACTATTTTCATAACTAAATCAGAATGAACATGTTCAATACTTTAATCTTGAGAACTGCAAGTGACCTTTAAAAGAAATAAAATAATTGTTTAAACATGGAAACATGGTGTTTGGGACATCCTTGGCATTTCCAACAAGAAGCAGCGGACGAGATGGCCAGCAGTTGTCACATACTTCTGTGCTTTTGTGGCAAGGCTTCACTATCCCCCCTTCTCCTTTCCCCGGGAAAAGGCCTTTATCAAAGAAGCAGAATTAAGGAAGGAGGCAGAGCAAGACTGCAATTAGAGGAAGCTGCTATACAGTTCCTAAAACGATGTATTTTATCTGCAAAATGCAGTGCCATGTGCTAATCATGAATAGGTCATTCCATCCAATAATTGGTCTTAATCAAATCTAACCCATGGAGATGAATTATCAGATAGTAGGGAAGAAATTCTGCAAGTCAGACTCCTGGAGAAAGTGATACTTTGTTCCAAGAGACTCAGACCAGATGGAAGCATATGTCACTTGGTAAAAAAAAAAAAAAAAAGTTTAATTTAGTTAGTGTAGCAATGTCTCTAGTGAACCCAGAAAAAACAATGTAAGCTGACCTTTTTGAAAAATTATGAGTCATTAACTTCAGAAAACATTTTTAAGCCCCACATGTATTTAAGGAACAAAATGTGTGGTCTACCATAAATACAATAAGGAGAAACATATGTATTAATTTAGGATGCTAAATTAAACTAAGTTAGTATTGATATTAGTGACAGTTAAAATAGAACAAGTGACCATAGCCATGTTAAAGAAACTCTCAGTATTAATCATGTGTTCTGTGGGGTTTTTTTGGTAAGGTTTTTATTGGATCTTCCATCAGATGCAGCTATAGCATTACAAACAATCCTAAAATGAAGAGGATGATTTTCAAGCTAATGAATGTATACTTTTTTCTCTTAAAACAGGTTTCCTCATTGGTGGCACTTACCCTTTACAAATTCAGATCACAAAAGATTCAGAGATCTAAATCATTACATGGAACAGATATTAACTGAATCATATGAGGTTGCAAATGTAAGTTATAATTTACTTTTATACTTTTGTATATAATATCAACTATTACTGGAAATATTTTATTATACTTTCTGATAACATTCTCTTAGTCCTACAGTCATTTAACAAACATGCATGTCTAATATGTCGAAAATCTGAACAAGAAGCTAGAAGGTATGTAGCACCTTGGCCTCAAATAACTTGAAGTTATATGTGGTTAGTGGACTACCGCTGTTGCTATGTGCCTTAGCATTTTAGAGAACTAAGGATTACTTGTACCAGGATAATAAGATGCCAAGAAGAAGAGAGCCTGTGAGCTGTGTCTTTAGAAGTAGATAGTATTGAGAAGAGCTGGCCTAGGGAAGTGTTTCAAGTAGAAGCAAACAATGTAGGAAAGGTCATGAGTGGGCAGGAAAAAAGGATGGGATTGTGTTGGTTCTATTGCTGCCGCGACAAATTACCACAAACTTGGTAGCTGAAAACAACATGTATCTATTTCTTTCAAATCATAAGATCAAAGTCCAAAAATGGGTCTTATGCAACTAAACTCAAGGTGTTAGAGGGCTGGTACTTTCTGCAGATGCTACAAAAAGGACATCCATTTTCTTGGCTTTTCCACTTCTAGAGACAGCCTCATTCCTTGACTTTGCATCCCTTCTGGCGATGGCACATTCTGACCTCTGCTCCCCTCAGCACATCTCCTTAGAATCTAACTCTGACCCTCCTTGTGGTAATCCAGGACAATCTCACCATTGCAAGACTGTTCATTTAACTTTGACTGACAAGCACTGTTTACCATGGAACATAACATATTCACATTTGCTGGGGATTAGGATGTGGACATCTTTGGAGGGCCAGTAGTCTATCACAGGGATATAGGGGAAAAGTGCAAAGTTACCATTCAATTGGATCTCAGCATTCTAGTGAGAAAGCCATGAGAGGAAGATGAAAACCAAAAAGGAAGTCAAAGCCAGGTTGTCAAGAGCTAAAGCTAAGACTTAGAGAAAAGTGAGGAACTAAAAACAGTAAGAAAATAACAATGTCCCTCCCTCACCGCTCTGGGAGATTCTAGACCTCTTTTTTGGACTGGACTGTGTTATTTTTATTTTTTAGTATTTTAAAATGTAAAATATAACATGTATCCAGAAAAATCTACAAAGGAAAGTTGGCCAGTTCAAGGACTAATGATGGGAATTCCCATCTGACTATGTAGGACTTTCAAAACAGGTGGGAACATTTGTCACCACCTTCCCATCACCCATAACAGAAGCTTACATTCCCTATAAAACCCAAGAAGACCTTGTGATTTTTTTCATTAAACAGAATTTTGTGGAAGTGATGTTTCATAGCTTCCAAGTAAGTTTAGAAAAGGTCATACAGCTTCTGCCAATTTCTCTTATGATATTCACTATGGGAGCCTTTAGCTGCCATATAAGAAATTGAGCTACCCCAAATCTGCCAGGTGGAGAACAAAAGAGAGAGATGAAACAGAAAGGTGTCCAAGAAACACAGCTGTTTTGGTGCCCAGCTGAGCTTCCAGCCTCGAAGCCCTATGAGTGAATAACTCCAACCCAACAGTCAAAGGACTACCACATTAAAAACATCAACCAAAAACACCCTAGGTGAGCCTAGTCAAAGCCAAGAGTGAAGGGCAATAATAAAATGACTGGTGTTTAAACCAACAATGCAGTGATAGCTGCCTGTATTTTCATTGTTACATATTGTTCTATTACATGAACATATTGCAATTCATTTGTACATTTCTATGGACATACACATTTGGAATGTTTCCAAACTGGGATTACTACAAATAATGCTGCTATAAACGTTCTTTTCCATGCATGTCTCCTAATGCACACATGTTGGTCATATACCTTGGAGTAGAATTTCTTGTTTGTAGAATGTGCTTATTTTTAACATTTATAGGTAATGACCAATTTACTGTCCCGCTTGCAATAAGTGTTCCAATTTTCCACAACCTTGTCTACCTTTGCTTGACATTGTCAGTCTTTTTAATTTAGGCCATTTCAGTGAGTGTGCATCTCATTTTGTTTTTAGTTTGTATTTTCTTAACTACTGATGAGATTAAAAGCCTTTTATATGTTGTTTGGTTATTTGGATATCCTCTTTCATGAAATGCCAGTTTATGTCTCTTACCTCTTTTATATTGAATTACTTGATATTATTTTATTTATTTATAGTATTTCTTCACATATTCTGGATAGAATTCCTTTGTTAGTTAAATATGTTGCAACAATTTTCTTCTGCTCTGTGTCTTGTTCCTTCATTATCTTCATTATGTCTTCTGGTGAACAGAAACTTAATTTTAATGTAGTAAAATGGATCAATATTTTCTCATTTGGTTAAAAGAACATATCCTATCTCTGCTATAAGCACAGTTTTCTATATTATTTTCTAGATGCCATGTCATTTTGTCTTTCACATTTAAATCTCCAATTTATCTGAAACAGACTTTAGAGCATGGTAGGAAATAAGAATTGCCTTTCTTTTCCATGTAGATTTTTAATTGTCCCAAAATTGTTTAAAGACTTCCCTTTCCTCACTTTTTGAAGTGCCAAGCTTGTAATAATTTAAATATTTATCTAAATGTGTGTCTATCTCAGAGCTGTATATTCTACACCAGTGATCTTTTTGTCTGTCCTCATACCAACAGTCTTGGTTACTGTAGCTTTATAATCAATCCTGGTATCTAGCAGAGTAAGTGTCCATTTTTATCCTATTCTTGAGAAGTTGGTATTTTGGCTCTTCTTGAATTTTCACATTTCCATGTAAATTTTAAAATTATCTTCTTCACGCAAAAACCAACTAGGATTTTAGTTGAAATTTCATCTTAATATTTTTCAATAAGTAGTTACAATGTACCTATTTAAGCTTTACATTTTTTTCTCAATAATAGGTTCATTTCTCTATGCACATGTCTTAAAAAATATTTTTTTAATTAATTTATTTTTTCAAATACATTTGTCTCTGCCTTCCCCCCCACCACTTTCCCCTGCCCACCTCTCCTCCCTCAGTCCTTCCCTACTTTGGCTTTGACCATGAGTCCTTGCTATATGTTCCTTGACTTTCCCCTTCCCTTCCTTTTCCCCCACCCACCCCTCCCTCCTTCCCTCTTGTCTCTGTTGGTTTCTTTTTTCTTTCAGTGATGCTGGTCTTATTTTCCTTGCATTTTTGTTTTGTTGGTTAGGTTCCACTTATAGGTAAGATCATATGGTATGTGTCTTTCGCCCCCTGGCTTATTTCTCTTAGCATAATGCTCTCGAGTTTCATCCATGCTGTCGTGAAGGGTAGTAGTTCTTTTATTCTTTCTGCTGTGTAGTATTCCATTGTGTAAATGTACCATCATTTTTTGATCCAATCATCTACTGATGGGCATTTAGGCTGCTTCCAACACTTGGCTATTGTAAATTGTGCTGCTATGAACATTGGGGTGCATAGGTTCTTTTGAATTGGCATTTTGGGATTCTTACAGTATAGTCCCAGCAGGGGAATCACTGGATCAAAAGGCAGTTCCATTTTCAGCTTTTTGGAGGAAATTCCACACTGCTTTCCACAATGGCTGCACCAGTCTGCATTCCTACCAACAGTGTACTAGTGTTCCCTTTTCTCCACAGCCTCACCAGCACCTGTTGTTTATTGATCTGTTTATGACGGCCATTCTGACTGGTGTGAGGTGGTACCTCATGGTGGTTTTGATCTGCATTTCTCTGATGGCTAGTGATGCTGAGCATCCTTTCAAATGCCTCTGGGCCCTCTGTATCTCTTCCTTGCAAAAGCATCTGCCGAGGTCCTTTGCCCATTTTTTGACTGGATCATTTGTCTTCTTGGGGTAGAGTCGAGTGAGTTCTTTATATATCTTGGAGATCAAACCTCTATCTGATGTATCATTAGCAAATATATTTTCCCATAGGGTTGACTCCCTTTTCATTTTGCTGATGTTTTCTTTAGCCGTGCAGAAGCTTCTTATTTTGATGAGGTCCCACTTGTTTATTCTTTCCTTTATGTCCCTTGCTTTAGGAGACATATCAGTGAAAAAATTCCTGCATGGGATATCTGAGAGTTTCCTGCCAATGTTCTCTAGGATTTTTATGGTGTTGCAACTTATATTTAAGTCTTTTATCCATCTTGAGTTTATTTTTGTGTATGGTGTCAGCTGATGATCAAATATCAATTTTTTGCATGTAGCTGTGTAGCAGCTCTCCCAACAGCATTTGTTGAAGAGGCTATTATTACTCCACTTTATGCTTCTGCCCCCTTTGTCAAATATTAGTTGCCCATATAGACATGGGCTTACTAAAAATATTTTCTTATACCAGGTGCTTACAGTATCTATTGAATCTTGTTTTTCTATTTTTCATCAGTATTTAGATATAACTCATTTTTCTATTGACATTTTTACCCAACAACCTTACTAACTTTAGTTTTAATTCTAATAATTTATCTGTGTTGTTTTTTGAACTTCCCACTTATAATCATATTGTCTACAAATAATGTCTTATTTTTTCCTTTCTATATATATGTTTTTATTTTTATTTTTCTTGCTATTTTGTGCAGGGCCTCCAATATATGATGAGTTGAAGAGGTGATGGTTATGTGCTTGTGTTACTCTACCATCTAATATTCAGAAGTATCTAGTATTTCCTCAAGTATGTAGGTTGTTGTAGGTACCCTCTATTATTTCAAGAAAGTTACCTTCTATTCCTAGGTTACCAATAGTTTTTACAATAAAGAAAGTGGAGTTCACAAAGTCCTTTTTCTGAATCTATTGGGCTGTTCAACAATCATCCAATAACAAATAGTTTTCTCCTTTATTCTGTTAATGTGGTAAACTATACTGAAGAATAATCTAATTTTAAACAAATTTGGATACTAGAATAAACTCCACATTGTTGTTATGTATTGCTCTATTTGATTTAACATTTTTGTTAGCATTTGTTTTCGACTTTATCTATTACAGAGACAGCCTGAAGTTTCCTTGCATTATAGTGTCCTTATCCAGA